CCTTTGATAATTCTAGACTTGAGGTATCGATACCTGAATGATGCAGTACCGATACCCTATGCCCATATTTCACTTTTTAAGCTCGAAAATTCACTCATTTCAGCTCAAACACTTCATGTTTCATCCCCTTTCATATACTTAACTCACATACACATGCTTAAACCCATTAATACTCATTTATCACATCCTTAACCTCATTAATACTCATTTATCACATCCTTAACCTCAAATCCTATCCTTCATATGCAAATCAAGAATTACACCACATTTTATATGTGTTCTAATTTCAATTCTCTCACTTCATATCTCTTAATTCAACTATTGACAAGTCAAATTTAGTTTCAAATTTCACTTATCAACTCTTTTCTAAGATTTCATTTAAAAACTCCTTATCTTTAATCCTTTTTAACTTAATCATCTTAGGGTTTTAAGAAATCTTAAGTTTTCTTTAAGCTTTTCTATCACCCCAAGAATCAAAACCAACTTTAAAACGAAAGAATTAACCAGCTTGAGACCAACTTACCTTATCAATGGAGCCACGGGAAGAGGGAGAAGAAAACCAACCAATACTCCATAACTTTCTTTCATTTCTCTCCATCTCCACGTGTTGATCTCCTATATAAAGGGAAAAATAAAATCCTTCCTTAAAAAAATCATTTTACCCCTTACTTCACTTAATATTTACTAAACAATCATCCACAAACTATTACCAATTTAATCTCGGAACTTTTCAATATTTCAAAATCAGACCTCAAAGTTTCAACAATTCCATTTTAGTTACTAGCCCCGATTTTGGGATATTACATTGAAAGGATTGGTCAATCATTATGTATATATGAAACTTATTTTGGTGAAGGAACATGGCCTTTCCTGCACCAAAATTCTCTTTATCGCGGATTTGGATTGGTAAGCTGGTGAAAGAATTATATGGGTTTTCATTCTTCTTTTGTTCTACTTATTGGTTTACTTAAAATGAAATTAAGAATTTCTTTAAAACTCATTTTTAGACAATTGGATAGCCATTTCTCCTTCAAGCAATTAAAGTTGTATAAAGAAAGCATGAATGTGCTGTAATTCATAATTTTGAATGGCACTTAAAAAATATGTACAACTGATGTTGCAGTCCACCAAAGGTCGAAGACAAGGGATGGATGATGTTGATGGACCTTCTCGTCTGCAACTTCTTAACAACCCATACTACCGAGACACTCTTGCTGAATATGGGGCCTTCTTTGCTATTGCTAACCGGATTGACCATCTGCACAGGAATGCCTGGATAGGGTTTCAGTCATGGAGAGCAACAGCTCGGAAGGTAACGGAAAATGTCCAACCCCTCTCTTCTTTATGATTTTGTCTCTATGTATGTGTCTTCTTTGTTTCTGGATTAATTGGTGAGAATTATGTCATTTGGCTTAGCAACACCTTGAATGAAATATATCTTGATCTTTTAACAGTCATTTTTACTCATAATTGTGGGACAAAAACAGGCATCCTTGTCTGAAGTTGCTCAAGCTTCATTGTTAGATGCCATCGAGAAGCGAAAGTATGGTGACGTACTATACTTTTGGGTCTGGATGGACATGAATCCAAGAAACAGCATGCAGAGGGACTTTTCGTCATTTTGTGATGCTATAAATGCTGGAAATTGCAAGAGCTGTGAAGTTGATCAATTATTTCAACCGCAAAAGTATGAAATTCTACGAAAAAAATACCTTGGTATCTTTACTTATTTATCATTTCATCGCAGGTTGTATTCTCCGAGACTCTTAAAAGGATGTATGGCTTACAGCACGATTTGAACTCTTTGCCACCCATGCCTGAAGATGGAGGCACATGGTCCTGTCATGCAGAGTTGGGCTTTGCCAACAAAGTCCTTAGAGTTCGTTATGTTTTCAAGGTGAGAGCTGTTGAACTTAATGACTTCTCTGCATGAACAGTTGAAACCATGTTGATCTGTACACATTTTGATGTCTGATTTGCATTTCGCAGGATGTTTGTAGATGCATTAGATGCACAAATGTATGATGAGCACCATCTAAGTGGTTACTGTTATCTCAGTTTCTCAAAGGTATACTATAACATGCATTTTCATGAAAGTTAATCTCAAATGAGTAGGGAGTAACTTGTTCATCGAACTATCTGAAGTCGGTCCCGGCCTATAAGTAGCCAAACTCCATTTTCAATTTGGTGATTGCATTCTACAGGATAAACATTGCTACTCACGGGTGCTTGAGTTGCTTATAAATGTTTGGGCATATCACATTGCACGCCGGATTGTATATGTGAATCTTGAAACTGGTGTGATGCAAGAATACCACAAGTTGAAGGGTCGTAGGGGTAAAATGTGGATCAAATGGTTTTCATTCAACACCTTTGAAGATACTAATATTTTTATTATTATTATTATTATTATTATCATTATCATTATTATTATTATTATTGTTATTATTATTATTATTATTATTATTATTATTATTATTATTATTAAATATATTAAATACATATATAAATAAATATTACAAGCCCGAATGGAAGCCCAATTACAAACAGTGGCCCAGACCCAAAATCCTACAGTAAACCCTAAACCCAATTTAGGGTTTATATCATCCTCAGCCGCCATCTTCAATTCCAGCCGTTGGATCTGGTTTGATCCAACGGTCCACCATTTGCCAGAGGAAACCCTAGGGTATCTATACCCTAGGGACACGTCCCAGCGCCGCCGTTGTTGGTTCCAGAAGCCTTCACCGCCACACCCACTCCAGCCGCACACGTCTTGCCCAAAATGGTGAGTCACCACTGGAAGTCCGGTGACTCACCGAAGAACTTCTTTCGGACCGGTCTGAGACGAACACCGGTGGTGGCTATAAAAGCCACCACCCATCTGCGAAAGAAAGAAAAAAGAGACAGAGAACGGAGAAAAAGACAGAGAAAGAAAAAAAAACAAACTAGTACCAACGATCTCAGCAGCAAAGAACCAGAAGAAAAGAGAGAAAAAGGAAGAAGAGACTTACCGAGGAAGCCTCGACCACCGGATCTCGTCAGAACCTTCGAAACATCGAAGGTATTTTTGTAAGATTCGCTCCGATTAGGAGCTTTTTAAAGGAAGAGAACACCGGGACCGTCCTTAGGACGGTCCGATCTATCTATTAGTATAAAAATAATTTTTTCCGGCCACCGGATGCGGTGGCCGGCGGTGATATTCACGGCGGCCCACGGTGGCCGACCGATAACCGGCTTCCCTCCGATGAGGGAAGCTAGAGAGAAGGCAGAGAGTTTAAAACTCTCTCAGTGAAGAGAGAGAAGAAAATGGAAAATGAAGGTTGGCCCTTCGGGCCAGCCGGTTTTGGACTTTTATAGTCCTTCCTGAACGACGTCGTTTCGGGAAGGATTATGCGCGTAATTATGAAATAGTTAAACCCCGTCCGCAGTCCTTCGTATTTGTAAATTTTACATTTTGGTCACTAAACTGAATTTATAATAATTTTAATTCAGTCTTTGAATTTTAATTTTATTCATTTTAGTCCTTTTTATTAAAATAATATATTTAGGATAAATGACAAATTTAATCCCTTAATTTTAATAAATAAATTTTTTATCCCTAGTTCATATTTTTAATTAATTTTATTATAAAATTTGAATTTTAGATAATTTCATTTTGGTCACTAAATTATTAAATTAGAAAATAAAATATTTAATCCCTATAATTTTAATTAGATTTAGTTTTATTTTTATTATAATTTAGTTATTTATATGTTTTCATTTTACTGCCTAAAATATATTGTTTTAGTGATATTTTTATTTTTTATATTGTATAAATATTTTTATATTCATAAATATACTTATAATAAATAGTAATTTTAATATTTATTTTTTAACATCGAAGAAAAGGACAGTCTTAATACAACTGGATGTCCTATTCTGGTATTTTAAAATTAAACAATATTATTTAAATTAATATTTATCAATATCAAAGAAAGAGCTGTCTTAAGGCACCTAGAAGTTCTTTTCTGATATTTTTAAATAAATAAATATTTTAAATAAATATAATTTTGAAAATAATAGGATTATAAATTAAATATATTTTTAAATTTTTAAATTTTAATAATAAGAGACAATTTATAATTAAAAAGTACCAATTTTGGGCGTTGTAGGGGTGCTAATCCTTCCCTAAACGTAATCGACCACGAATCCCTTTTTATTATTAAAAAGAACGAATTTTTGGTTATAAACGCAGATCAGTTTAATTTTTTTTTTTTAAAATTGATGTTTTCTTAAAACTCTTTTAAAAGATATTTTTTAGGTATTCGACCTACCTGACCCAAAAGGCCGATGGCGACTCCCAAATTATTTTCAAAACCATTTATTCACATCACTTTTCCCGCCAAATATAATATTTCGTGCCCGGACGAAAGCCGGTTACGACAACCTTAAAGACCATGGACGAGGATTTAGCCGAGGAAGCAGATTCTGACCACCCAAAAGGACGATGGTTATGGCCATGACAGGTGAGTTTGTCTGGCAAGGTGCTCTTGACAGAGAGAAATCTCCGGAACAGGCAGAAAGAGACGAGGAAGCAAAAAAGTAAGGATAAACTAGAGAGGATGAGGCATAAACACCATCAAAAAGCATTGGGGAAGTATGTGAAACCCCTTGCAGAAGATGTTGAAAACTCAAATTCAACATTACTAACATCAAATTAGTTCCATTTATGTTTTGCATGGTGCAAAAATTTATATATTTTAAAAGAATCAAATACCACATTCTTTAGATAAGTTATGAGAACCTTTTGATAAGTTAGCCCAACTTCTTTGTAGTGCTTTTATATTAGAAGTTTTTAGCTCATTTCAAATTTGTTTACATGTGAGTATTACTGGTCATTGATGTTCATGAATGGCTCAAACTGTATACTATCTACCCTTCAATTTTAAATTATATTTTTGATGTACTTTCAGTTTTATTCTTTCACAAGTAACGAAATTGATATTATGTTAGTATAAAATTATTATTATTCCATAAAATTCATAGCACACTTACAAGATTTGACATACAATGAAATTTAAACATTGCCTTTGATGGAAGAACTGTATCCAGTTTGGTCATCATAGTACTTCGACCAAAGCATCACACCTCCATACTTGGCAGACCCTTTGATAGTGGGGAGCACTTTCGATGTAAGATCGGCTACTGGAATGAACCCACTTCCGGCTGCTGTTGGGGCTGCTGGAAGTCCTAAGAAAATATTAGTTGCAGGAATGTCTGTAGTCCATTGCTTCCATGCATCTTCTAGATTTCCAATGCTTCCAGATGTGTATTGGCATGGTGGATTATTATAGAATTGAACCCAAACATTGTCAAATAGACCAGTTTTCAAGGCACCGCCGACCCAAGCATCAGGGAAAGGGCATTGAGGAGCAGCGGTTAAATACACTTTCTTACCTCTTTTGCTGTATCCTGAAAGGTACTTTGCAAGGTCGTCCCAATGTTGGTTCGTTCCTCCTTCGATATCAAAGTCGATTCCATCTAAGATGGCATCACCTAGTGGTCGAGAAGACGATGTTCCCCCTAAGAAGTTGTTCCAAAGATAAATAGCCACCTGCCTTGCATCTTCAGCTGAGGTAAGGTAGTAGCTTCCTGCACCTCCTCCGATTGAAAGCATTACCTTTATGCCTTTTGCTTGGCAGGATTTAATGTCGGAACTTAAACCAGTGCAGCCGTCGCTGTAGGGATCGCAGTGACCGGCAAGGTTGATCATCGGAGTCTGACCATTGCCGAACGTCGGAAGAAAAGCTATGTTAACAAAATCATAGTTACCCGTGGCACAAGTCTCTGCCAAGGTACCCTCATTTCCGTTTTGACCCCAGTAAATAGCAATTCCACCAGCATCAACATTAACAACTAGTAACAGAATCATTGAACAGAAAAAAGCCAGCGGCCTTGCTGGAGTTAATGTCATCTTTGATCTTAATCTGGTTACCGAAATTAAATGCAAAACCTTTTCTTTGATGCTTGGGGTATTGTGAAAAACTCTTATATAGAGGAGAAAACAGCTTTTCATCGACGACGGGTTTGTTCGGATTTATTACAGAAGAATAATCACTAAATCCCCACTGAATCAACGGCATAGAGTAGTGGAATAACGTAGACGATTTGTTTGAAAGTGAATTTCCACGTCCATCTTCCACCATTGTCCACTTTTTTGGTGCCTTACTATTGGCTCCTTTCCCTGAGTTGCTAGTATATAGTGAAAATCAAACGTTAACTATGAAGTAGAATTCTATCTCAGATGTTTCTTACATAAATGGACAAAACAATTGTCTACTAACATTAATTAATCCAACGGCATTCACCATGTCCCCATGGCTCCATGTCCAAGTCCAGTAGTGTTTTGCTTAGGTGTGGATGGTTCACGCGGTGACGACCCGTAGGTGTCCTCCGCTGTATAGAAAAGAGCTTCGTCGGTATCCGCCTCAGCCACATTAATTTTATGTTTTCTGATTCCATCTATTTTTTTCATTTATTCTAATCATTTTAATTTTTTATTGTTTAGATTTTAGTATATTTAATATTTTAATCTAATTATTTATTTATTTCAGGTTCCTTGTAATTAAGACTACACTTTTAATTTCTAATTTTGTATATTTTTTATTTATTTTATTATTATTATTATTTTATTTTCTTTCTTAACTCTAATTTTATTTTTTTAGGGAATACAATTAAATTTCAAACGATTATCAAAGGTAAATAATTCGTATTGTGTTTAAATTATTATTTAAACTTCTACTTTTCGCGATTAAGACAATCGATAAATTAAAATGGTACCGAAAGGGCAGTTCAAGGATGCTAATCATTCATTGACTGTAACCGACTCCCGAATCTGACATATTTTTTTGTAAGACTCAAATCAAGTAAGAAAATAAATTGAGGTGTCCGATCAACATAGTTTTTTTTTTAAAAGATAAATGATCGATGGCGACTCTAACCCATTTATTTAAGTTGAAGCCTAATTCCGGATCCACAAAAAAAACGATTGTGACAATAACTACAAAAACAAGACTAAAACTTGTACAAGACAAGACAAACTTTCACCATTTAAATAAAAAAAAAAAATATTAGTTAAAGAAAAACAAGAATCTTATATCTACAAAACAAATCTTAGATCCACAAAACAAAGGTTGGTGATGGTTGATTCATCACTCAGCGTTAATTAGATTGAGATAAACGATAAGTGAACGTAAGGAAAAAAAAGAAAGTATAATCTATCAAATAAAATAACGATAAAAATAGAAAAGATAAAAAGAAAACACTGGAGGAAGAGAGACGAGATGGAAGGGTTGACAATCGACTTTTTATTATTATTTGAATTAATATTTTATTCATCAAAGACGTACATGCTAGTAATATATTATTGTAAAACAAACATTTAAGCAATGACTATAATAAACAAATTAGAAGGAAAAAAAGTATTATATCGTGAAAAAATTAATATTTGAAAAGTTATTTTATTTTAATTGGCGTAGTCATAAAATGGGTGTCATCCCGCAGTTAATATTTTTAGATTTATACACTCAAATAAGAAAGATGAAACGGTCGATATTATTCTTTTTTTTAATACCATCAAAATCCATAAAAAACAAAAAGAGAAATAGAGAAAAATAGAAAAACAAATGATACGGAAGTTGCTCTCAACCTGGCGTTGAGGGCAACCTACTATCCTACCTCCCCTTACCCCATTACATATGGGAATACGATCATCTAATTTAATATAATTATAATGGGTAATATCGGGGCGAATGGGAATATAAAGATTGAAATTTCTCCTTATTGATCCAACAATCATTCTCATTCTGGTTTTCATATTGCACCGGATAAGTGATGATAGACAAGATGATTCTCAATGTTAAGAAATATGCTACCTCAAAACAAGGACATGATTGTTAGTAATGCATGGATTCAAGTGGTATTTATGAGTTTTGACAAAGATTTCCACTTGATTAGTCAAGAAGTAGTTTTATGGTATTTGGTTGAGAATAAACATCAAGTGATGAAGCTAGTTAGAGATGGAGAAGTTTATGACATAGACGAACATGGGAGGAGGAGGAAGAGGAAGAAGAGGGGACCAAAAACATCGCATGTTGGAGCTGTCGGGCAAATGTCGTTCTTTCAACATTGAAATTGTGGCGACATGCTTATGCCATAGTTTGATTCATATACTATGATTTTTTTAGATTAGTTACAATAACACAGGAAATAATTATGGAATACGCTGGTCCAGTTATAAAAGTTTAAATAAAATTCAGTAATAAGGAGAAATTGAAGAAAAAGGATGATTGTCAGAAGTGGGATTTGAACCCACGCCCTCTTTCGAAGACCAGAACTTGAGTCTGGCGCCTTAGACCACTCGGCCATCCTGACAACTCCGTTTGTTGTTTTAAACAATAAAAATTAATACAAGTAAATAAAATAAAAATAAACAATTAGTTCATAAGAAAGAAAATTGAAGAAATATATATAGATCATCTCACCGTGTTATAGAATCACGAATACTAACTAAATACCCTGTCTTGAGGGCTTCGGCCCCAAGTAAACGACACCTTATTAGCAGGTAAACTTGGGGGGAGGAGCATCCACCCATGCTTTTCATCTTTAGCAGCTATTCCAAACTTCAAATTATGGCAACCATGAACTTCTTTTCGTGTTACTTAAAAGATGACACTTTACTCGAAATTGTTAAGATAATTTGGTTTCATTTTTTTATATATATTTTGTCGCGTTTAATCTCGTGTTATGCGATATTCACTTATTCCGTACTTTCTGTTCGTTCATTCAAATTTGGTTCTTCACTAAATTCTGTTGGTCAATATAGCCTTGCAAATAGAATACCCTCTTCCTTTTAATGTCAGCGGAGCATGTTGCGAGAACAATTTTTCTAATGCTTGCAATTATTACACTATTTCTCAGTTTTTATGCTTCTAAACGATCATTGTTGCATTCAATACAAAGATATTATTATAATTAATTTTAACCATAAATAAGAGTTAATATAAAATCAAGTCTCAGATTTAAAAAATTAGAGTCAAATCAAGTTATTTGAATTTCTCCTAAAATTTAATAATCACTTATAATATTATAGTAAGTATTTGTTTTAATTTAAATAAATTTCTCTAATCATATAAAATATACATATATTTTTATATTATTTTTCATATGTATATAAACTTTTTAATTTTATTTAATAAATCAATATCATCTTATATATCTAATATTATATGATTTTGTCGATGAAATAATATAAAGAAATCAAGAAATTGATAAAAGAATTTTCTTTAAAACAATTACAGTTAAAAATTCAAATTTATTGTTAAAAATAATAATGGAAATTGTATTGATATTCTATAATGATAGAGGAATTTGTTGTTCAAGTTTAATAAAAAATTAACTTAAAATAAAAGAAAAATTAAAATATATAAATAGTCATATAAAATTATAAGATAATTTTATAAAAAAATCTAAAATAAAAATTAAAAGTATATAAAGTTTAAATTTGATTAAAAATCAATTTAATATAAATAAAAAGTTAAGAAATAAAAAAAATATTATAGACTAAATTACAAAACAGCAAATTATTTAATCAAAACAACGTTATTTTGAAATACATTTTTCCAAATTAATAAAATCCAAACTCAAAAACCAACTCACTGATTTGAATCGACTCCACTCAAAATAACTCAATTCATAAAATTTTGATTTCTTTTTTCAAATTAAACCTTAGAACCGACCGAAGGCAACACAAAAACAAGGAAACACCCTTATCATTATAATTAATAAGGGGCTGCCCCATAAGGAAACAGCACAAAATCAGGTGGCAACCAATGTAAAAAAGCTAAACGTTTATCAAAATGAAACAAAGTTAAATTATAACATCATGACCTCGTGGTGCCATTTGTAAGCTTGGCATATTGCTAACTAATTGCATTTTGATGATGCATGATATTTTGAGCTGAATACCAAAACATTAGTAAAAGTTTGATTGAGGAAGAAATGCCTCTACCTCATGTGATTTGAGCACACAAACAATACCCTGGAAACCAAGTAGCCAAATGTTTGTCTAAACCTTCTTGGTCTTCAAAGGACCCTTTGGAATTCTACTCAAAACCTTGGCATCAAAAACTGCATATTGCTTTTTAATCTCGATCATTGCCTTCTCTGCAAACGGGTCAAATTTGTCTTCATACTTCTCATAAAACACGGGCACCGTATGCAGCAACACGAAAGCTAATGATGATATATAAAATATAAATAAAAATTCAGTATATGGAAATCTATAGATAAAAAATACTTGGGGCTAAAAAAGAAGAGTTAGTGTTATTACATATATAGAACAAGGTCAAGAAGTGGCACCAACTCCCCACAATTGACAGAACCCAACATGCAGCTATAACCTGAAATTCAAATCAAAGAATGGAAATATTAGTAATTCTCCCAATCAAACTTAAGACAAAGCATCCCCAAAGGCATGGAAACACACACACCATAAGAAACTCCTTCAGATTTCTTCCAGATGCAATATCTTGCAGCAGCTTGAATGCCCGGTTAATTCCAATCGTCATAGCAGAGGCAACTTGGACAAACGGCTCTTCTGGTAAATGAACTTCAGGGATGTGAGGTGGAGTCCTATAAAGAAAAGGATTGGTTATGCAGTCTTTAAGAAATCATACAATATCTTAAGCTCAACAACCAAATAACCCAAAGCTCCCGTAAAGAATGTATAAACTTACTTGTGGATGAAGGTATGAGCATTGGACCACAAGGACATTAGTGCAAGACAGAGTATCGAAACGTGACAGATTAAAGTAAGTAGGTGGTATTCAATAAGTTCAAAAAGGACCCAAATTGCAGTTGCTCCACCGAGTACACCTGCTGAAATCTTCTTGTTCCTCCACAAGAATACGTCAGCAGCTGCAATAAAATATTTACCAACAATATAAGAATGGAGAACAACAACATCAGAGCATTTAACACAAACAAAAGCCATTAATCTACAACAAGAACTTCTCTTTCTAAAATTCTTTATACCCTTAGGGGAATTAGATGAGTACATTTTACTCTAATAACGTTTTAAAAAAAATGCTATGCTTTGATATATTCCCCATAATGCAAACAAGAAAACGGCAAAAGTAAAAGACCCAAAATCTTAAGATCTCAACTCAAAGTGCATTTAAAATATCAAACAGATCACGAATCATAGAACAAAATATAGATCCACTGATGTTACATCAACTAAACTGTAGTAAACTAAGTACTAGATTATATCTTTTACTCTCATTTGCATCAAGTCCATGAACGAACAAACTTAAAAGCATAAAAGTCGTGTTCTCATTAATGAAATTTGAAAAAAGAAAAAAAAAAGTGAAATGAGAGAGTTCGGAGTTCGTACGTTTTCCACCGCCAAGAACATGATGAACTGGCTTCTCTCTTCCAAACAACCGAAAAATCTTAGACTGGACGGTCGAATCGGAATTCGGTTTCTCATGATCCGAGTCCGAATCCGATGTTGAATCGTGGGAGTGAATCTTCTCACTGATCTTTTCCATCACCGACTCCACAGCCGACTGCTTACTCTCCGATTCATCCGCCATTGCTAAAAAAATCCGAACCAAACCACGAAAATGACGGATTCCCTGTCTCCGATTCTTACGGGGTCCGAAAAGTATATTGGTCTGTGAGAGCTGAAGTAGGACATGTAGGGCTTTACGATGTGAATATATAAACCGTCAATGAGTCTGAGCCTGAGGTTCGGACCAAAAAGCGAAGGCTCGGAAGGAATTTTGAAATCAAGAGAGCTATGGTAGGGTGCGGTGGGGTCCAGCGTAAATTGGGTTCTGAATTTCCTTCATTTTTTCTGATTGGACGAACGTGATGGCGGTGCGGGGTTTTGAGAAAGGTTCACCGAAATGGGCCACGTTGCTAACATGTTTTCTTTTACAGACGTTGCTAACATGATAGTGTCATGAATAATAATAGAAAAAGATATTAAAATTTTAAAATAAGATTAAAATTTTAAATTTAAATATTATAAATAATTTAAATTTAGAAAAATATATATATTATTTTTTATTATATTTAATTTTTATTAATAAATTAAATATTGATGCTTTCCAGTAGTAGTTTCGGGTTACCATCAGTGGGCTCCACGTTATCTTAACATGAAGGGGCAGGGTTATTTTTTTTTCTGGTGGTGGTGAGAGGGGGGGGGGGGAGATGATAGTACGTGTGATTTTAGAGTTTAATTTTTTTTAATGTATGCGGTGATTATTATTTGTTTAGAGTATTTTTATATAATTATAGATTTTTGATTTATTAATCAATAAATTTGGATCGTATATTATAGAGGTAATAACAACTCTTTTAACTCAGTTTATTTTATTCGCAAACATTAAGATTCAAACTTTTGATCTTACTCAAGAGATTTAGTGTCTTATTTCACTATACCAACCGATTGTCAATTTATTTAAAATCTTTTCTAAATAGTAACAATGTCTATATACATTGTAGACATAGATTCGATTTTAGATTTTAATTTGTGACGTAATTGAGTAGGAAATTTTAATTGTCGTCGTGGTTGTGTATTTTCTTAATAGTATATAGTTGTGTATTTTAAATGACACTTTAGAATCCATCATTATATTATTATAATATCAATTTAATTTTGAGTCTGATTTTTAATATATCATTTTTATAAAGTGTTTAATATTTTATTTTAAAATATATTTTAAGAGGTATGTCCGAATAAAAGTAAGGTTTTTATCTAAATATCACACTAAAAATTAATATATAAAATAATATTTTTGCAGTTTATTTTTCAAATTGACATCCTTTTGTTCTACGTAGGGCAAAAATGCTTTATATCAAACACATTTTTAAAAGATATTATCTATTGAAAGTATCTTTGTTTATGTGGTAATAATACAGTAAGAGCCTATAAAGATTGGACTAGAATGAATAAATGAGTCAAAAATATCAAATAATTATTCAAAAATGTGTTTCGCATTCAATATGTATCTTTGACATGTATTAACACGAGTCAATCCAGACAACAATAATAACACAGATGTATAGACTTTTAAGTAATGTCTAGAAGTATATATTTAATCACATGAAAAAACATGGATCTAAACAACTTGAGATTTAAAAATCTCAAGGTAACACATGATGATTTTGAGTTTTCATGTACAAGTTTCGAATTTGATCAAACTTATATCACTACGACAATCAAAGTTAATTTTAGATATTAAGATCCAAAATATTTCAAAAAGCAACAACATACATATCAGGACCTGAATTTGGTTAAGTTTAGGATTTGTCTTCCACAACTCAACCTCATCAACTATGGGAAGATTCACAAATCTTACGTCGTTTTGATATTAATTTTTTTTCAATTGTATAATCGTAACCTTTTAAATATACACTCATTGAATAATTAAAGACAAAACTTATACACTCACATTGTCACCATTGTTCGGATTAGTTTGTGCTATTGCAAATATGTGTTTTTGACACATATCACACACGTTACTTCTTATTTAGTAGATTTGGTACATTTTTTTAACATCGGCCTCTTGTTTTCTGAAGATACTCATTTTTTTATTATTTATATTATTATTATTATTATTTTATTATTAATAAATATTATTACAGGCCCAAATCATATTGGACCGGCCCAATTACAAAGGACCCAACTAGCCCAAACCCATCCAAAAACCCTAAACCCAGATTAAGGTTTAATCTCTAACCCTAGCCGCCTCATCATCACAGCCGTTGGATCTGAGAGATCCAACGGCCCACACTCATCCAGCACAAACCCTAGGGTGATGATACCCTAGGGACACGTCCCAGCCGCTGCTGCTACTTCCAGAAGACTCCACTGCCACACCAACGTTCCAGCTTCCACCACGTCTACCGAAGACTCCAGAAGGCCGGCCGTAACCGCACACGTCTCCCCCAAACGGTGAGTCACCACTGGAAGTCTGGTGACTCACCGAAGAACCCCTTTTGGGACCGATCCGAAGCCATCACCTGTGGTGGCTATAAAAGCCACCGAGTCCCTGCCAAAGAAAAAAAGGAGGAAGAACGGAGAACAAAAAAACCAAAACCAGCAGAGAGAACAACCAAAAACTGAGAGCAAAGATACAAAAAGAAAAAAGAGAGACCAACTCACAACAACTAGCAAAAACCAAGAAGAGAGAAGGAGGAGTTTACCTTACCGGAGAACCCCAAACGGCGTTGGAAAACCAAAAATACCGAAGGTATTTTCCTTAGATCTAGGAAAATCCCTAACTTTTTAGGATAAAAGAATGGTGAAATTGGGTTTAGGGTATTTAGATCTTTGGTTTGGGAATTTTTGAAGTTTTCCGACCACCGGAAACGGTGGCCGGCGATAGTAATCACGGCGGCAGACGGCCGCCGCCCGGTAACCGGCTTCCCTCCGATGAGGGAAGCTAGAGAGAAGCCAGAGAATTCTGGCTCTCTCTCTGCTTGAGAGAGAAGAGAAACTGGGAAATGAAGGCTGGCCCTTCGGGCCAGCCGTTTCAGACCTTAAATAGTTCTTCCCGAACGACGTCGTTTCAGGGAGGACTATTTGTGCAATTTTTAATTGTTAAATCCCGTCCGCAGCCATTCTAACTTGTAACTCTTACATTTTAGTCACTAAATCGAATTTATAATCCTTTTAATTTGATCTCTAAATTTTAGTTTTATTTATTTTAGTCCTTTATATTAAAATAATATATTTAGGATAAATATCATATTTAGTCCTTTAATTTAAATAATTAATATTTTAATCCCGAGTTTATATTTTTAATTTATTTTAATCTGATATTAGAATTTTAGCTAAGTTTAATTTAGTCACTAATTTTAAATATTTTCATTTATTATAAAGCTTTATTTCTCTAATTGTTTTTTTATTATTGTTTATTTATGTTTTAATTTTACTTATTTATATAGTTAATTATATAAACATATAAATATATAATAATAATTTGATTTTTCATAAAATATTTTTATTATATTTTAATATTTATTTTTCAATATCGAAGAAAAGGACAGTCTTAATACAACTGGATGTCCTATTCTGGTATTTTAAAATTAAATATTATAAAAAAAATTATTATTTAATTTTATTCAAATTAATATTTATTAATATCAAATAAAAGAGCTGTCTTAAGGCACCTAGAAGTCCTTTTCTGATATTTTTAAATAAATAAATTTTTATATATATAATTTTGAAATAATATGATTATAAATTAAATATATTTTGAATCTTTAAATTTTTAATAATAGAGACAATTTATAATTAAAAAGTACCAATTTTGGGCGTTGTAGGGGTGCTAATCCTTCCCTAAATGTAACCGACCACGAATCCCCTTTTATTATTAAAAAGAACGAATTTTTGGTTGTAAACGCAGATCAGTTTATTTTTTTTATTTGATGTTTTCTTAAAACTCTTTAAAAAAATAATTTTTAGGTATTCGACCTACCTGACCCAAAAGGCCGATGGCGACTCCCAAATTATTTTCAAAACTATTTATTCACATCAATTTTCCCGCCAAATAAATATTTCGTGCCCGGACGAAAACCGGTTACGACATTTTCCTTTCTTCTATTTTGACCCAACCTTCATAGAACACTAAAATCGTGTGGGCAAAGGCGCTTTTGATAAGAAATGCCTTCGAAATTGCGTCTAGTGTAGACTTTCTTTACCTTACATGATAAAAAGATGTATATCCGATAAATAAATTAAAAAGGATTTTATGTTGGATATTAATCTTTTAGGGTGATATTTGGGTAACAAGACTATAAAAGTCAAGAGATTATAACTGAATTATTAAAATGTACTCTGATCATTATATAAACTTACAATTTTAGTATTTCTAAGGGATTAAATTGAAGTATTATCACTTTTGGAAGGTCAAAATGCAATTTCACAATTATATTAACTTTAAATTTTACAATTTTAAAGAGATTGAAGTATTACAGCTATGGTTGCTTGAAAGTGATTAGAAAGCTATTGAATCGCTTCTTCTTCTTTCTTTTTAAGATAAGAACTCAACAGATAACAGTTATACCAGAATTTTGTAAAGTACCCGCCTCCGCCTGCAGCAGAAACATAACTTCAGCCGGGGATGTCGAAAATAGCTGCATTCCAATCGGCTTTTCCCTGGACATCATGGCGACTTTATCTGCTACACCATTTAGTTTTATTCAAATCAAACTCGAATAATTTATACGCCTTATTGGCACTACAGACTAATACATCAAAGTCTATGATTTATAAATTATTTAGGGGCAAGAAGATGTTACTTTAATAATTCTAAGTTGGCATCTACAAACATTTTCAACCAAAATAAAGATTGGAATCTGGAAAGAAATGAAGCTTTCTAAGATGAAAACTATGGGTAGGAACTGAATCCTACATCAATACATATGTTAATCAGAATGGCCTTGGCGGCTTCTCTAACACAGCGGAAAAGAACACCTCACCATCATCTTTATCTCGTTTTGGAACAACCACCCATTTGTGTTTCCTATACCTTAGCACCTTGAATGCCTCCATGTAATCCTCCAAGACATATTTCAAACAGAAGAAACTGTCGATCCAAAGCAGTCCCCCTGGCCTCAAAACCCTGGCCCAATCGAACAACAAGAAGTCCAGAAACTACCAAATCAATCCAACCATCCAGAAACCTCGTCGTGTGTATCAAATCCAGGGTGTTGTCGAAGAATGGAAGCCGCTGGTTT